TTTCTATATCTAAGACCGATCTTTTGGATTGATATTAGATTTTTTAAACATTTCAAAGTATCATTCCTTAATCAGAATTCAGACTAGATTTAGGCAAATTCTGTCCGATGCTCTTAGTTCAGACGACTTCCTGAAAGATGGATAGTTTACATGATATGATTTTCCGCCAGATTATGAAGACAAGATAAGAAATTAAGAAATTTGGGTATAAGAATTAGCGAAGAAATGTTGGGTTTCGAGGAATCTCTTGTTTATTAATTGTTGAGCCTACTTCCATTTCGAGTGAAAGCGTTCGGAGATTAGATTCGAAGATCTATTCCACCAGAATACGACGGAGGACACATGCGCATACAGAGACAGGCTTCGAAGTTGACATATGACCTTAACTAACCAAATCACTTTATATCTTATTAGAGTCCAGATAAAGAGTATATATATCGCTTTTTAGGGATTTGCCGGTGAGTTTTCTTCACTCTTTAGCTTGAATTTGGTTGTGACGATGATACCTTGCTCTGATGATGTTCGTCATTTGACGGAGGAAAGCTTGGCACATTTTCACCAAAATCGAAGGAGATTACCTCGGAAACAGCGTCAGCATGAATCTTCCACTAGAGCCAATCGACAGCTGATCCAGAGGAATCCGCCGTCGTATTCTGGTGGAATTGACCTTCGAATCTCTCCACCCAACACTTTCGCTCGAAATGGAAGTAGGCTCAACAATTATAAGAATTAGCTTAAGGAAACGACCCAGATCTAATGAATTTAAGTGTAAGGAAGGCCGTTGCCAAAAAGTAGTAAATCTGTCCAAAATTTCATTGGGAATTTTTACTAAGGAGGTCCTTGTAAAGGGCTTAGACTTTGCCTTTTCAAATGGTAAGGACTTCAAAGAGAAAATTTTGGTAGAATAGATAAGTCTAACGGATAGTTTCCCAGAGGATACTAGGAGTGATATTGAACTACAGGTTGTCTTTTTAATTGGTGGTCATGTAGAAACACCATATAAGAATACGGCAGTTAAGACTATTATAAGGAAGCTCAAGGAGAACGAGCAACTAGTATTAAGTACAGACAAAGGAGGAGCAGTAGTAGTTATGGCTAAGACTGATTATGTAGAGAAAATTTTAGAGGCATTAGATGAGGATAGGACATCTAAGATTATAATTAGAAACCCGACAGAAGGCATTTACGTCAGACTTAAGGGTCTTCTGCAACAATGCGTAAACAGTGGAAAACTGAAACTGTGGAGATGCTCCAGCGAGATGCTAAACACCCAAATGCGTATGGTCTGCTCAAAATCCATAAGCAAGGCACTCCACTTAGGATTATTGTAAACAATAGAGGTTGTGTGATGCATAAAACATCACGATTTGTATGTACTCAGTTAATGCAAATCTCCGAAACTTGGACGTTTTCAGTAAAAAAACTCCTACGACTTTGTTGAGTAAATTGATGATCAGACGATATAAAGAGGAGATTTGCTGTTTAGTTTTGATGCAGTGTCTATGTACACTGACATTCCGATAAATGAGACATAAAGGCGCTATAATTAACTCTGGATCAATATCCTGAAATCATAACAGGTAAACAGTTACGTAAACATTCAATCACTAGGTTAGTCAATGTTGCAATGTATAAGACATATTTTACCTTCAATGATAAGTTGTATGAGCAGACACGGGGCTTGGTTATGGGATCTTGTTTAGCCCCTATTTTAGCTGATAACTACGTGGCCCAATTAGTAGTTTGTGTGTTTCAAGAGACACTCTTAGTTCCTAGGTTATGGATTCGTTATATGGACGATTACTTTGCTGTTTGGCAACACGGCAAAGATAATTTGGGGGAATTCCTTGAGCTAATAGATAGAATAGATGCAAGCATTAGGTTACAATGGAGTTAGAAAAGTAAAATAAATTGCCTTTTTGGGATGTATTAATGAGAAAAGAAGGTAATAAGCTAAATAGAGTATATATAAAACCCACTCACATGAGTTTCCTTATTAATTTTTTCTGTAACCATACACATAGAGTAAAAATAGAAGCTAAGAAGTCTACGATAATAGGGAGTCTGCGTCTAGCAATGCAAACCATAGAGACAGGAAATTGGTAGATTAAGGGATATACAGTTTCTAAACATTTACACATTAAGATTAGTAGACGATTACATATCAATTGTAGTTGCCTTCCTGTAAGCTTGCGAAAAATTTGTGTTAACTACTGAGGAAATGGAACATAAAAACAATGTATAAATAGAAATTAACACTTTCGTTAGTAGATCCTTCGTTTAGAGAATATTAAGACCCTCTTTCCAGCTCAGGTTGCTGCAAGGTTTTGTGCTCATGTGGTAAATTCTATGTAGGGGAGACCTGATGATGCATCCAGAAGAGGCAATGCA